AACTGTTCAAATCAGTGCGAGTCTGAATTTGCAGTGTGGCACAGATTTTGAAAAAAAAAAGATCTTGGCACCATCTTTGGCATTTTCATGTGCAACTTGCACAGATGTCAGGCAAGCTGCACATGAAATCGCACTGACCAGCAGCTTTGAAATTGCGCTACTTCAAGTGAAGTAGCGTGAAATAAAAGCCACATTCAGTGTGAACCAGGGCTTAGAGGAAGTTATCAAAACTGGAGCAGCTGTGCATAGCAACCAATCAGCTTCTATCTTCAGCTTGTTTAGTTAAGCTGTTGCTGTCAGCATAATACATATGTGCAGTGCTAAAAGGGTGGGCTTTAATGCCCACAGGCCACACATATGCATAATTGAGTGGCTGATGTGTCTGTGCCTAGAGCACACTCAGTGCAGAGACCAGCTGTTATAAAGAGAGCACCTGATCCCCACCATCGGTAGCTGACGGGGACAGTATTAAAAGGACAAATGTATCTTTAGTACAGTTTTCCCTTAATAAATCACCCACTCCCTGACTGCAGCCTGTCTGCACTTAGGCAGGCATTTTCACAGTCATGTGAAAAATTAAGTAAACTTGATAGAAATTGTTGACTTTTGTAACATATTTGAACAGGGAAACATTAGATCTGTATTCAAACTGCCTACAGATAAAAGGGGATATACTTAAATATGAACACAAGGAAAATGCACCTTTTCAATTTATTCAACAAAAATATCAATGTAATGCTGTACTATGAAACAATAAATACACCATTAGCATCAAAAGCTGGTATTGCTCCCTGTGGAGCAAATGACATCTTGTTGCCCACAAGTCTCTGATATTAATGGTTACATTTTTATTTTTTTGTTAACTTGTCCATGCAAAATGCCAATGGGAATGCAAGATTTACCTTGAACAACCTGTGATGACATCTCAGGGCTCTTGGAGACATCTTTTAGCACACATGGGTAGCTCTAGGGTTGATTCTGCTAGGTTGGCCAGTCTGGAGCAAATAAAAAGTTGCATAAATGCCACTTATAGATTATTTTCCTTACACTGGATTGATTATTTGAAATAATTTGTCAATCTTTTTACATCCTGTGCAGGCATCCACAAACTTCTGAGGGGCTTAGAGAACTTTATTGATCTTGGCTTGAGGATACCACATTCCTCAACCACCCTAGATAGCGGAGGTTTAAGACAAGTCCCACTTGCATTCTACCTAAGGAGATTTTAATCATTGACATCTAATGTGGAACAACTGATTCTTATTCCATGGATATGCAGTGGTAGTAAATGTAGATGTGTACTTTTTTTTTTTTCCCCTACAAGACATATCTACATTTTCATTATTTAGATTATTTCAGGTACTTGTATAGCGCCGTCAATTTATGCAGCGCTTTACATATATTGTACATTCACATCAGTCCCTAACCCTCAAGGGGTGTACAATCTAAGGTCCCTAACTCACATTCATACATACACATACTAGGGACAATTTAGACAGGAGCCAATTAACCTACCACCATGTCTTTGGAGTGTAGGAGGAAACCGGAGTACCCGGAGGAAACCCACGCAGGCACAGGGAGAACATGCAAACTCCAGGCAGGAGGTGCCGTGGCTGGGATTCGAACCAACGACCCGAGTACTGCCAGACGGAAGTGCTAACCATTTAACCACTGTGCTGCCAATTAAAAGATTATAAAAATAAATACAATCTGGGGAATGAACAATCTGCGCCACATTAACAAAGCAGAAAGACCTGTTTCAGGTTTATCTCTGACATTTTCCATTTCAGAATGAACTAGAAACTAGTGCAGGTCTGCACCAGATTGAGGGAATGCTGCAGTTTTCCATATAGAAAACTGACACAGATTTCTGCCTAATATGAGCCTATCATATGGGATGTGGGCTATCAGACAGCTCACACGTATTTCAATGCCAGTGCAGCGATTGCTGAGCACAAGCAGCGACCAAGCAGCGTTAACACCCTCCTCCTCCCCCTGCTGTGAGATCAGAGAATGCAGATCCATCTCTCTGTTCTTTATCCTATGCCCATCACAACCACAGAGTAGAGAAGGGATTATTCCTAAGAAAGAAGCTGCCCTTTGTTAATTAGGTGCAACTTCTGCTCCATTTTCTAAGTTTAGAAGAGTTGTGCAAGTATGGGCTTGCACAACCCTTTGTTAATTCCTCCCCACTATGTATAATTTTGTGTCATTTGTTCAAGAATATTGTCTATTTATAGAAACTATTGGATTTAAGATTTAATGTTGACTATTAAAATAATTTAAAAAAGTCAGTTTCCATAGGGTGTATGTACTTTTCACATTATTGTACTTACCTTCCCCCTTTCCAATGAAGTTCTGTGCCAAGGACAGCCCTATACCTTTACTAAAGAACTTCTGGACAATCAGGTGACATAACTAGGCCTCCTTCAGTGACAATGAGCTGTCATTACTCCTGCATTGAACAGCACACCCATAATGACATGTCAATCAATGACCTTTAAAGCAGAAAAATTATGAGCCCAGGTGGACTCAAAGGAAAAGGTTGAATGATGCTGACTGCCCTTTAACCTGGAGGACTGGGCAACATCTAGTGGCAGAAATGAATGTCTGAGAAGTGGAGGGAGTTTGTAACTATTACTTTTTTTAAACCACTGCTGAGGAATCCACCCCAGAATAGGAGTTTAAGCAATGTGGTGTTGATTTGGAATTGCAAATTCCACTAAAGAGAACAAGAAAGCAAAATATTACCAACTACACAACTGGTTTTTTTTTTTGTAATAACTGATATTTGTGAATTGATTTTTTTTGTTATAAACCTTTATAAATATGTCAAGTTAAAGAAAATATATTAAAAACAAACATTTAAAAAGTAAAAATACAAACATTTTTGTCCATAGGTAAAATTAAAAAGCAAAAAGGGGATCTAAACTCTCAAAAGAATTTATAATCTGTATTAAATAGAACAACAGTGAATAGCGGAGCTGCAAGTGTTTTTAAAAACAGTACAAAGCTAGAAAATGTATCCCTACTATGTTGCACGGAATTGGTGACATGGTGTAGAGTTGCGGTATTGGTCTAGAACTCCAAACTGAAGTGGAAGATACTGAAGTGTCACAAGACCATGTAGCGCCTACATGATACCAGTAGATACTCCCCTGACAGTGCAGAAGTTATAAATATTTTCTAAATCTTCAGCTTTCATTAAAAGCCTGTTATCTGGTTGACACTGTGTCTCATATGCTTCCCTGGCAGAGACTACAAGCAGCCATGAGGACACACATTGCAAAGGTGTGATCCGCTGTTGTCACTATTAGGACACTGGCCCACAGCAATAATGTGCAGACAATACTGGAGTGAGTGCATGTAAGCAGGAAATAACTGAAAGGTGAAAACCACATAATACACAGTGCTTTAGCAAACAAAATATCAACCAATTAGTGTTGAGATGTACTTGAAGGACTTCTCCACGGTTCCCAGCATTCTTTGCTGCTGCTTGAGGTTCTGGGTCTGAACTACAAGATTTTACCAGTCCTTCCAAAATACAATAGAGAATTTCCTGTTCATTAAGTGGTTGTAAACTCAGATGCTCTGTACATGTTATTAGTAAGGCTTACCATCAACACAATACATCAGATGTTAAAATTACAGTATGGTTTCTGAAATACCTCTCATCTGTGCTGCTAACATGAATACTCCGCTTCTCCTCTACTCTGCATAGCCCAGGTCCTGCTCTGCATGACTTTTTCCCTGTCTCCTCCCTGAGCCTTGCAAAGCAGAGTAGAGGAAAAGCTATCAATTATGTACACTGAACAGCCCAATTGCTGCCTGTGATGTGGGCAGCTAGAAGCCGAAAGGGCCAGAACAGAGCAAAGAACAGGAGCATACACACTGATGCAGCAATGCTGAAGAGGCTAGATTAGTCTGCAGATGGTTGCCAGAGTAAATCCAGAATTATATGCAACTTGCAGCACTAATAAATGTTATCTTTAATGAAATATTAAAAAAATAAAAGGGCACAAGTTATTAGACAATTTTAATAATCCTTTTATGAGGATTTTTTTCTGGGTTTACAACCAATTTAATGTTTTAATTTCTAGTTAAACACAGACTAGAAAGTTTAGGTCTTCTTTAAATCTGTTCAGTGGGCCAGCCTGCAGCCTAAAGACACATTGCATATCAGCAAAACGATAGGCTGAAAGATTACTTGTAGTGGTGCACTGAAATGAAAAATTCTGGTGCCGAAGCGGATACCAAAAATTTAGAATGCACTTGGTCGAAAACCAAAACATCTGCATATGTGGGGGGTGGGGAGGCTCAAATTTTTTTCTTTATTTTGTTTTTAACTTTAATGTGTATTTTATTTCTTTTTTAACTTATGGATGTTGTGCTATCACATAGGGGACCAATGCAATTAAATGTAATTACCGGCTTTTTTCCCTTCACTTTAGCTCGAAGAATGAGCTGTCATTCTCCCCTCTGCTAAAGGAAAGGGGTGGAGCCACCCAGTGACATTACCCAGTGAGCCCACCCCTTAGTTTCCTTTAGCGGAGGGGAGACTGACAGCTCTTGGAGCTATAATGAAGGAGAAAAAAAAAAAAAGCTGGTAATTACATTTAAAAACCCGTCAGTTACATTTAGCAGGTTCTCTCTGTATACACTGCTCCTCTCCTGCCTTTCTCTGCCACCGCCCCCCATATGCAGTACACACAGCCCCCTATCAGCACCTGTATCTGCTAAAATTTTCCCATCAGCAAAATGCCAATAGGGCTATTTTCGGCTGATATGTTTCCGCTGCTGAAATTTAGGGGCATCCTTAGTTACTTGCCCATTAGGCGGCCCACTGCATTTTCCAATTGATAAGCAAACCAAACTCCTAACTGCAAACTCTTCATCAAATAAATCTACACAAACCACAGTCACTGCTGTAAAAAACATGGCTTATTTGAACAGTCTTTGGGAACCTCCTCCTAACACTTTGTTTTTCCAGACCATTTTATTTAGCCAATTCGAAGCTCATTCTCCAGGCCATAGATCTTTGCCTTCAAGTTGCGCAGTTCACCCTGGAGTTTGTGTGTACGCTTGTTTCCCTGGCGTACTGCACCAAGGATGGCCAGATCCTGGTCGGGTCCGATGTTCAGCGTGACCTGTAGTTATTTGGAAATTGCAAGATGAAAAAGCAAATATTAAAAGGTTCTGCAAACCCAATAAAGTCTACAATTCCCAAAAGACATTTATATCATTTACAAACTGGCTTAAAAGAAAGCCCAAGAGAAATATAAAAAGGTTGCCATAGCCAAACTCTCTGAAACACAGGTTGGCTGGCTGTCATGCTATTTTTATGGTTTAGCAGAAAACTATAAATTTTTTATTTTAGTCTAACATGGACGTGAGCAGACTAAAGGGCTTCATGGGAAAGTTATACAATGCCAAATATATAGAATTTAGTACAGGTATGTATGCAATTGTGAATGTTATTAGCGGTTTTTCTCAGGATTTTATTTTGTATACAGCATTCTTTTAAGCTGAACCTGTCAGTCTAGTTATACTGGAGCTGCCATTAGTAAATGGTTTATAAATGAGTCCCTACAGTTAGAGAAATATTTATAAACCAAGTCATACATGTAAAAGAACAGTCTATGTAGAGTACTTGTCTTCCCTGCTGCCTGTGTTGCCAAGCTCTGCTCCAAATCTACATGCAAAGTGCACAATGAAAGCAACACTTCCAAAAGTGTCAATTTTCCATTGGTCCATACCTGTGGCATTCCTGTGGGAGCAGAGAATCACTATAGTATTCACTGCTACTACAGTGATCGCCACTGTCTTCCAGGTCCCATGCCGTGTGGCTGCCCTGCTACGTAGGTAACACAGTGGGTCCCTTGTTCAGCACAGATGCCAATCACAGAACAGCTTGCACTTTTCTTAATGAATGTAAAGTGTTCTCTGATTTGACGAAATAGAGTGGTGATGTTCCCCATGTTCACTATTCAGCAAGGCAGAAAACAAAATTAAGATTTTTTGTTTACCTGTAAAATCTTTTTTTGGAATACCTCACAAAACACAGATGATATCATATTCATGACTACTTGGGTTATGCTGCCAACTTCAGGTGAATGGACACTGCCCAAAAATGTCAGGAATCACTGTCTAGGAATAACTCCCAGCTCAGCCACCACTCAGTTTTGCATCAATGAAAAAAACAAAAGGGAGGGATCTCTGTGTCCTCTGATGTACCCAAGAAACAGATTTTACAGCTAAACTAAAAATCCGAACTTATTCGTACTTCACAGGACGCAGATGACTTCATATTTATGACTACCTGGGATGTCTCAAATCACTGAATATTAGGGGTGGGTAACACAGCAACAAGACCAAATGCACCCAAAATCCAAAAACAGAGCGAAGAGATCCCCACTGCAAATCACTCAAATTGGCACCCCCAAAGGGTTGAGCATCTACCTGGTAGACCGCAGTAAATGTGTGCAGAGAAGACCAGGTAACAGACTTACAAAACAGAAGTTTGGTGCAGAATTACCCCTGCTGGAATGCCCTTGATGAGGCCTGAGATATGGGCTGATAAATCCACCCAGAAATTGTGGATCCAGAAGAAGCCTGACCCTTGAGGAGACCCTCAGGCAGAACAAACTGGGAATCAAGACTGTCAAAGCTGTAGACTTCAGAGAAACTTGCACCACATCCAAAGAGTGCAGACATTACTTACCCATTACGTTGGGGGCACCCTGCAGAGCCTTCAGGGACTTAATTCTCTACCCAGGGAATTACAGCCCAGGATCTGTAGAGCATCTTGTCAGCGAGGTCACCTGGTAATCTGTACCCTGGTGATCACTGCCCTGCAGCTTTACAGGCTGTCTCCACACTTGCATACAGGGCCTGGGCAAAGTCCCTCTTGGTTGGCCTACTGGCCATATTGACCAATCTGGATGAAGCCCTCCATTGTCCCAACATGGTACTTTAGGAATAGGTCCTTAAAGATAGGACTAAACCCCACAAATTGAGAGAGACATGTGAAGGCACATCCAACACCTAAAAGCAAAGTATTAACCGATTTTTGGGGATTTATGCCCATTTGAAGATGACAGCATGACCCAAGTAGTCATAAATATGTGATGTACAATTAAGAAAATCCATACCCATTATTGCTCCATGCACACAAGGGTCAGAACCTCTGGCATCAAAAATGCATCATAAAAATGCTCATAGTGGCTTGTGTTGCACAAGAGTTTATGGGCATTTGCTTTTATAAGTTTTTTTCCCTCAAAACATTCCCCTCTGCTCATTTTTCAACGTACACTTGAAAATGCAGAATGCGCCTAAACACCGCGTTTATGAGTAATGAGTTTAATAGTGTTAAGCCTTTTTCTGCCCAAAAGCTCCTCTCAAAAATGCATTCTGAAGGTTTTTTTTTTTCTTCTGCCTCTAAATGCTCCTCTGAAAATATGCCTGTAAACGTCCTAATGTGCACGGACACATAGGCTAACATACAGCTGCTTCTATAGGCTGGAAAAAAAAAAATGAAACCCCCCCCCAAAACACCAGTATAAGCAGCATTTTATTATGCCCAGTGTGCATGGACCCTTAAGCAGAAGTTAAAAGAAAAAAAAACAAAACAAAAAAAAAGAACACAGTTTTAGTCACATCACATACCTGTAATAATGTATGTCCCACATTGTGCAGGCAGCTGGATCCTAGAGAACTCCTCTGTTTAGAGCAGCGGTTCTCATCCTGGGGGTCGCGACCCCTTTGGGGGTCGAACGACGCTTCCACAGGGGTCGCCTAAGACCATCGGAAAACACATATTTCCGATGGTCTTAGGAACCGAGACACCGCTCCTCGCCGCCGCCACCGCCGTCTCCAGGTGTGGGCGGGATGACATGCCGCCCCTGTCATCTGGACACACCTCGAGATCAATCCTCGCCTGTGATTGGCCGCCGGCACTGTAGCTCAGGAGAGGCACACAGGCGGCCAATCACCGGCAAAGAGGTAGAGCTTGGAGAGGAGGAGCCGAGCGGCACCTCGAAGATCGAGCGAGTGAAGAGGAGGAGAGCGGCCGGAGAAGGAAGACATCTGACAGGTAAGTGTTGGTACCATGGGAGAGGGAGGGAGCGAGCGAGCCCAGGCTGGAGCAGGGGTCTGCAAGGTAAGTATCATTGGTGTCAGTGGGAATAGTGCCCCATCATTGGTGTCACTAATACCAATGATGGGGCACTATTCCTCCCACTGACACCAACGATGGGACACTATTCCTCCCACTGACACCAACGATGGGACACTATTCCTCCCACTGACACCAACGATGGGACACTATTCCCCCCACTGACACCAACGATGGGGCACGATTCCTCCCCCAAATGACACCAACGATGGGGCACGATTCCTCCCCCCACTGACACCAACGATGGGGCACAATTCCTCCCCCCACTGACACCAACGATGGGGCACAATTCCTCCCCCCACTGACACCAAGGATGGGGCACAATTCCTCCCCCCACTGACACCAAGGATGGGGCAGTATTCCTCCCCCCACTGACACCAAGGATGGGGCACTATTCCTCCCCCCACTGACACCAAGGATGGGGCACTATTCCTCCCCCCACTGACACCAAGGATGGGGCACTATTCCTCCCCCCACTGACACCAAGGATGGGGCACTATTCCTCCCCCCACTGACACCAAGGATGGGGCAGTATTCCTCCCCCCACTGACACCAAGGATGGGGCACTATTCCTCCTCCCACTTATTTACCAATGACGGGGCACTATTCCTCCCACTGACACCAATGATGGGGCACTATTCCTCCCACTGATACCAATGATGGGACACTATTCCCCCCCACTGATACCAATGATGGGGCACTATTCCTCCCACTGATACCAATGATGGGGCACTATTCCTCCCACTGACACCAATGATGGGGCACTATTCCTCCCACTGATACCAATGATGGGACACTATTCCCCCCCACTGATACCAATGATGGGACACTATTCCTCCCACTGACACCAATGATGGGACACTATTCCTCCCACTGATACCAATGATGGGACACTATTCCTCCCACTGACACCAATGATGGGGCACTATTCCTCACACTGACACCAATGATGGGGCACTATTCCTCCCACTGACACCAATGACGAGGCACTATTCCTCCCACTGATACCAATGACGGGGCACTATTCCTACCAATGACGGGGCACTATTCCTCCCACTGACACCAATGACGGGGCACTATTCCTCCCACTGACACCAATGACGGGGCACTATTCCTCCCACTGACACCAATGACGGGGCACTATTCCTCCCACTGACACCAATGAAGGGGGCACTATTCCTCCCACTGACACCAATGACGGGGCACTATTCCTCCAACTGATACCAATGATGGGGCACTATTCCTCCCACTGACACCAATGATGTGGCACTATTCCTCCTACTGCAAAATTACAGTTATGAAGTAGCAACGAAAATAATTTTATGGTTGGGGGTCACCACAACATGAGGAACTGTATTAAGGGGTCGCGGCGTTAGAAAGGTTGAGAACCACTGGTTTACAGGGATACCTTGTCCTCTTCCTTAAGTTTAAGGACAGGAAGAAGGCAAGGTACCCCTGCACTGAAGAGTTCCCCAGGATCCAGCAGCCTGCATAACGTGGGACATACATCATTACAGGTAAGTGAAGTGACTAGCGGGAGGGTTTTTTTTTTTTTTTTTTTTTAAAGCTAAAACTTCAGCTTTCAAAATGTCAGAGCTACTATTTCAGAATTCTTGTTCTGCAGGTCAGCTGACCAAGAATTATGAAATAGTTTTTTGGTTTTTTTTTCCAGCCTATAGAAGCAGCTCTATGTTAGCCTATGTGTCCATGCACATTAGGGCGTTTACAGGCATATTTTCAGAGGAGCATTTTTTCCTCTTGCACAGTGGAGATGTCAATCCAGGCATGCAATCCCTGCAGGCGTCGTTGCCCATGACATGGGCAGCTAGGAGATCAATCCCTATAATAAGCCAGGAGTAAAAACAGCTTATTAGAGGACCAGTGGCAATGCAGCAGATGCTGAATAAGCCTTCACATCAATGTCACCTGCACCACTTGTGAGAGAAGCAGGCCTTTGATTTATCCTCATCCTCACCTTGAAAAGCTGCTTTTCCACATCCCGCAGCCGCTGGCGGAGAAGTTTGATGTCTGTTTTGAAGCCCTCTACCTCCATGTTGCGACGTTTCTCCAGAGCTTCGTAGCGTTGGGTCATAAGCTGAAGACGTTTGGCGACCTTGTCAGAACGTTCCTGAAATATGGAAGGAGACTAGCAATAGGCTGGGAGGAGAAACCACAGGGCTTATGAACAGTATGAAAATCCTTGGAGTTTCACTTAAAGTAATACAAAGCCTACAATATAATCCTGCCAACTTATTTTACAACAGAATTAAAAGGGCGCTGGGATAGGGAACAACTGGAATGCGAAGTATGAAACTTATGTTTGCTTTTTACTTCTGGTATGTACCGAAGATCTTTATAAGAGCTCTGTTATGAGCTGGACTGATCACTTCAAGGTCTATCACTGGCTACATGTTTATGAAGTGGTAACTGGTAAATTCAATGCAATTCCAGACTCACATCATCCAGGAATAAGTACTTTTTAACTAAAAGGTCAATTCATTAGAAGATTATCAGAGCTCTATGTGCTGGGGTGGGGGGGGAGACAAAGTATCCATTGTTTACTGTACTGTGTGGTTTGTTCACATTTATATTTTCTATTCCAGATTGTAGCACAATCTTCTGTGTATCTGTGTTATTTCTGTGTGCAAAATTGTTTTTAAAACTTCCATGTCCATAAACCTCCTATATAGATCTTACCTTGAATATCTCCCGTCCGACATCTCCTTCCTCCCGGATCTTTGCTAGCTCGTCCTCCAGGGCTACGCACTGCTCTCGGTACATGTCTGCTAGTCGATGAGCCTGTGAGAGCTGTTCCGTTAGGCTCTACAAGTCAAAAGAGAGCAAGAAAGCTCTGGTGTTACTAGAATGGATGACTATAGTGTGGAAGGTGTTATTAAATGTCTAGTTCCTGCCAAACTCCATTTTTAGCTTTGGAAAGAGTGGAGAACATTTATACTATATTTCATGTTTTTATGTATGTCTAACACCATTGTGGAGATTCTCCTTCACGTCCAGTCTGTGCTGCCCATGCAAAACATTTCAGAGGAGCAGCTGTTACTGGGACAGGGAGGCACAGACAGCAATAGAAACATTGTAGAAATGCATCTTTCCCACTCTACTAAACCATGTTTTTGATGATGTGCCCATTGGAGATATATCCCATCACTTCCTGTGCTGTCCAATGTCTCCGGCTTACTCCTCGGTCCAGCACCTGCAGACCTCTTCAGGCAAAAAGACATTCATGCCATTCCGCCCATTTACTGAGCCAAGCATGTTAACACAAGCCACAGTGGGGGAGGGGGGGCACACCATGCAGGCTGGGATCAATGTACTCCAGGACTAGTGGCACTCACACAATTACATATTGAACACCAAAATAAATAAAAAAAAAAAAAAAAAAGGGGGGGGGGATAGTTTGATGCGCCACGCGATCGGTGCTGCTGCTGGTGTGAATACGCCCTAAGGACGCTCAGGTACATTTGGATATGTTGCTGCCTTCAGGGGATTGGACACTGGGAAACAAAGCTGTAAGACAGCCTGGTATACGCCCTCCCCACTCCCACCATGCTTCTGTTTTGCAGCAATAGTGTAAGATGATCATAAGAACAGATGGGAGGGACCTGTGTCCCTTAAGTAAAGGGTTTTATGGCAAGTCAAAAGTTCTGTATTTGTAATTGTACATTATGGGACACCAGGTAAAGTAATTCAGGTACATTGGAATGTCCAAAAGCAGTCCAACTAAAGGGTAGGCAACAAAACGAAAATGCCAACAGGCCCACAAGTAACCATAGGTTAACAGAGGGGGCACAATAGCGCTTACAGAGCTGCTTGAATAACCCTACATCCAAAGCTGGCATCATTGTAGGCCAGAACAACCACCTTATAAGAACTTAAACATTGTAAACAAAAGGCCAGGTGCCAGCCTTGCAAATTTGAGAAACAGATGCAAATACTGAAAAGCCCAAGAGCACTAAATCTAGTAGAGCCCACCTTGACAGGGAAGGGTAAAAACTATATCCTTAAGGCCGTAGGATGGAAGAGCAGCCAAATCCACCTGGAGTGCAATGAAAGGCAGGCTGTCCTCTGCAGAGACCCACAGGAGTGACAGAAAGAGAGCTAATCTATCAAAGGAAACTAAGTTGAGAGATAGTCCCGAACAGTGAGTACCAAATGCAAACAGCAGAGGAAATCTCCTTAGGAGGCTTTGGAGTAGGACAGGGACGGTAGAACAATGTCCTGGTTACAGATGAAAGTAAGAAACCACCTTGGGATGAAAGGTGTCTGTGTAACATAACAAAAGGTTCTTTACAGAATAAAGCCACCAACCCAAAACTTTAGCTTGCAGAGGTGATGGCAACGAGGAAGGCAACTTTGTGAGTAAAAGAGATTGAAGTATCCCGGAGCAGTTCAAAGGGAAGAGCAGACCGAACTAAGTTCATGTTCCAAGAAGTCACTGGGGAACAATGTGAGCCACAGTCTGCACAAAATCCTTTACCAAGAAGTGACATGCAAGTGGTATGCAGAAAAGAATTGATGATATTTTACTCTTGATGGTATTCAAGGGCAATTGTTGATCCAGAAAAGATAAGATTCACACCACAGTATACCTTTTTGGGTGGAAAACCTCCACTACTTGTACTTGCACTATGGGAAATAAGCTATCCAGTTGTGATTGTAGACTGTGTGAGAAGAAAATTTTCTAGATTTTAAAGCATAGGGATAACCAAATCAGGCATACCTGTCTTTTAAAAACTGTGCTTCAACAGCCAAGCCATTGAAACTACAGTCCTGAGGAACAGAAGATCTGGGAGGTCCCATTATGAGTCTGCCAGGAGTCAGAGGATTTACAAGCATGATATCTGCCGGGCCAGTTCAGTGCAATGAGAATCGCCGGCATGCCCTCCATGTCAAGCCTACGGAGCAAGCAAAAAAGTCTCCAGAGCATCCACTGTGATAACTAGAGGATCCCAGGACCTGAAAACAAACATGGTCATTTTGTGTTGAACCTGGAAGCCAGGAGGTCCACATCCAGCCTCCTCCACGTACAATCACCTTGGGGTGAAGAACTTCTTCACCAGATATTGACGACTGAGAATGTCTGCCTGCCAATTTTCCACGCCTAGGATGTGCATGGCAGAATAGGCCTGAACATGATGCTTCCTGGACTGCAGGGTCTGAACTTAGAAGAGGAGAATCTGAAGTTTTCCTGAGGAAAAAAAAACCTGAACTGGCCAGTATCCAGGACGAGCACTACATACACAAAGCAATGAGACTGCGTTGACGTTGACTACTCGAGGTTTGGGCATTCTTGATGTCCACAGAGACCAGAAGATGTTGCAGATGGAATAAAGCATTGACTGACCCTGAAGACTCCATGCAGAATATTAGTACCAGAGAGAAAGTGCTGAGAACCTTTAGTTCCGGAACGGTTTTAATTCCCTCATTCCCCAGTAGAAACCGTGGAATCTTTCTAACTCTCGAACAAGAACTATGTCACCTTGAGAGAGCAGCCTTGCCAGAGCAGCATGATGGTCAACTAGTCTTTGCAGGAATGTTGGCAGGTTAGACAACAAAGCGGGACAGAGGCAGATATTTAAATTCTAGCTTGTAGCCCCTGGATAGCATGTCCTTGCATGACCCAAGCATCTGAAAAATCCTGGCACCAGATGGACATGGGCCAAAAGACACCTCTCCACTTTAACAAGTGAGCACATCTGCTCATTGTAAGGAGGACTTGTTTGTGGACTTTTGCTGTGAGTCCTGGACTCCAAAAGTCCTCTGAGTCCCAGGTTTCGCCTAGGAATTGGAGGCAGTGAAAGGAACTTGCCTTACCCTCAGGGGTAGACTGTTTTTTATACTGGAGTTTAGCCTTCTTTTGATGGGGCAAAAAGGGTACTCTACCCGAAAAAGGTGGTCCAGGGAAGTATGTATACAAAATGCATTTTCAACACTGATGCTTCTCAGACCACCATTTGAGCAGTCTTTCATATGTGCACTGGAAAAAAAAAAAAAAAGAAAAGAGACCCATTCTGGATATTAGGAGTATAATAGTCGCTAGGCCGTTAATACAGTAGAGTAGGTCCAGAGGTGTGAACGTCCATTGTTGGGAGGGCAGAAGGATCTGTTAGGATAGAGCCAGGATCCTGACACATCTGTGGATCAGACACCTAAGGTGTGGCAGATGAGAATAAGGTTTTGGAAAGGGCTTCTATTATCCACATAATCTTTAAACATTGGGGTGTCCTCCACAGGGACAGAGCCTTGTTAAGCCCGTCCCCAATAGCATAGTGCGCAGTAAAATCACCTAGAAGTGAAGACCTTATCTGAATTAAGCCCATCACCATACAAAACAGGTTGCAGTAGTGAGTGTACTGGAAAGGTCTTAAGTTGTGGGCTGAAAAGAATCTAGGCTGGTAACTAGTTATAGCTGACCCAGGCTGCTCCAAGTCTAGGCATGTACATACTGCATCAGTAAGGAACAAAATGGTATCTTTAAGAGTTATGTCTGCACATGAGACTACCAATGCACCAACTCCTCAAACAATGATGGGGTGCAATTCTCCTCATCCTTACTTGACCATGCAGAAGCTGCTGCAGCCATGAGGTAAGGACTCTGGATGAGAGGGTGTAACAGCCTACTTGGGACCTCTGTGTTCAGAGTTAGCTAACAAAGCTGAAATTTTCCCCATAAGCACAAATATAGTACCAGAGAATTCCTTCCTGGACAAGACAGAGGAGGGAGCCAGCCCTGAAAGAGGACTCGGAGGTGTGTTGATTCAGGCAGGGGACAGTGGCCCCAGCTATTTGTGACAGGTTCAATGGGAGAAACACTGCAAGTGACCGTGGAATGGTTTAGGATCGTACACTGCCAACATTCGACCAGACTGCTGCCTTTAGCAGGGGTGTAAAAATTGAATTGTGGGCCGCATCAGCATTATGGTTGCTCTCAAAGGGACGGTTGTATCTCCAAGTCTAGGTGTTCAGAGCGCCCACCCCTCAAACATGTCAAGAGCCCACCCCACCTTTGGAGGTCAAGAGTTTGCCACGTTCCTAACATCACAATGCACCCCCTTACCTTGGGCTGTTGCCGGAAAGAAGCTGAATGTTGAGGCCAGGGGAGGTGGAGACGAGGGGGTGCTGTGGCTACACAGAGAGGTGCAGGATCTGTAGGAGTTCTGTTCCCTTCTCTGCTGCTGACAAGGTAGGAGCAGAAATGAGGGGGGTGCGGCAGCTGCAGGAGAGGTGCAAGGGCCACATGAAATTGATTGATGGGTCGAAGTTAGCCCCTGGGCCTTGTGTCTGACACATGTGCCTTAGAGGATTCACCAGAGCTATGTAAAGCAGCACCAGGCTTCCTACATAAACAACAAAGTCCTTACTGCAGCAGTGGTCCTAAGAGACCATGCAGTTCACAAAGTAGATACACTGGGGATAGAAAGGCAGGATCCAGGTGACATGCTCCATCCAAGCAGTCTTTGCCCTCCCGGTGGGCTTACTCCTGAACGAGTCTTTAGAGACAGAGCTGCACCAGATGGGTGCACTGCGAGCTCATGACTTGTAAAGCACTCTGGCTAACGCACACATTACACACAAGTGTCTAGGAGAGAGCCTTCAGTTCAGTGCCCACAGGACACATTACAAGCTGGCTCCACTGCTTCGTCCCAGCGGGGTCCAGGATTGCCAAGGATTAACCGATCTGGAAAGCTGCAACGTGAGCCCATTCCAGCTCTGCAACCATTGTTGACCAACTTACTAAAAAATGAATCTAGATAAAAAGACAAGGATTTGCTTCTTACAGAGCAGAGAAGATGTTAGTTCTTCTAAGGAGACTAGCAAAAAACTGGAGCATGATGGGAGCGGGAGGGGTTTACAGGGCTTATCCTACAGTTTTGCTACCAGTGTCCAATCTCCTGAAGGCAGCAACATAACCCAGTGTACCTGAATTACTTCACCCTGTGTATCTTAATACATGAATAAGAAAAAAAAGTTTAGAAATTCAAATTTTGGTATGGCTACAAGCCCCTACCCCCTAACCCCCAAAATCTCGACCATGCCCAAAGCTTTAGGAGTCTGCACAGCACTATATAATCACCTTGACTTCTTCAGTCCGTGATGTCCGAGCCGCTTTCTCGGCCTGTGACAATCTAAAGATTACCATCTCCTGCTCTCTCCCACGATCTGGGTCACAGCTCAAGGTCAACTGCTCTCGGCAACGATCGAGTTCCTGCAGCAGTCTGTCCTTCTCTGCCATCCAGGACTTCTCGTTGGCACGACCCTCAAATTTCAGCTGCAGGAAATCCCTGGTGCTCTCATAGAGGAGCTTCTGAGTCTTGTTCAGCCTACAGATGGCAGATTTTTAAAAATGTTTTTTTAACTCTGTTTATTGCAAACATAACGCATACACAGGATTGTCAACTATGCAAAGGTATACATTCCTACTCAGATTTGTTTCCAGCATGGCAATATATAGTGACAAAAATTAACACATAACATAAACAAGCCTCCATCTCCTATCCCTCCCCGATGAAGGACAATAACTACAATGGAGATATCATAATACCAAGCCTGTGAGACTGGTACCCTCAGTTACCTAGGTGGTACTATCATATAGAGTACAATCTTCTCATACAGGTTCATTTGATTGCATGTTGCTATCCACTGAATTAAGGTAGTGGTGGACTGCATCCATTTAAGGGCTATCATTTGGTTTCTTTTAGAAAGGTTCTAGGGCAGCCTTTCTCAACAGGGGTGCCGCCAGAGGTCTTCTGGGGTGCCATGGGGAGAAAGGCTGTCACTTAAGCCCGAGCTCCCAATCCCCGGCCGCACTGTACGTCGGCACTGGGAGCCATCACATCACTCAGCAAAGTGAAGGGGAGTGTCTTCTGTGCTCTCTGCTTCCCCCTAGAGTGCAGTACGTGGCTGTGTAATGGAAGCTAAGGTACCGTAACGTTTCATAATGCTGTATACATGTGCCTGTATGTGTACATACACATGTATGTGTATACATGTACATGAGTATGTGTGTGTGTGTGTATGTATGTGTACATGTGTATGTATGTGTACATGTGTATATGTATGTGTACGCATGTATGTGTGTACGTTGTGATAATTGTGCGTAGAGATACGGACGCTGACAATCATATTTGTATCATACCCTACAAAGATCATTCTCACTCTATCTTGGAATGGAATGTGATCTGTATGTGTGTGTGTGCACTGGGGTCACAAATGCATAAGGCACAGCTGGATACGCTTCATGGTTGTAACCCCAATTAAGCCTGGTGCCAGAGGGTCTGAAACACTTTCATCTGCCCAGTCATAAAACTATAACTCAGTCGTCACTTGACATGAAACATTATCTCAGAGTGGCCATAAAATGCACATCCCACTTGAATCACTTTTTCATACAAATTCATAAACCTTAACAGGAACAGGGCACATTAAAATAAAGCATATATTCAGATAGGTCATTTTGATACGAGTCACCTGACACCTTACATCCCTATGTGGCGTCTACAAGAGAGTAGAAAGCAATATATTTTTATCTGGAATGGTAAGTTATGGCATATTTGGTGTCTGGACGTTCAGAATATGATTCTGCATATTAATCTGCCAGTGGCTAGGATGCTACATGTACATATTGAAGGTGATTGACCATGGTATAAACTTGGAGGAATTTGGTCATAGCCTGGGTCCCCCGCCTAACACCCCTCCCCAAATGAGGCGATTAGCCCTTGGCTTCAGTAGCCACCCCCTGCTGGGACACTAGAAAAAAGGCCGTCATGCCTGAAGAGAAAAGAAGAGATTCTCCCTTTTAACACCAGGAACCATCTTTGGGAGAAAAGACAACCTTCATTTTAACCTTTTTAGTAATAAATCCTATTTTCTGAAAAGTGTTGAAGCTGTCTCTAAGGCTTTTAATGAAAACTAAAAGATTCCCCGTCTCTGAAGAGTGCTACTGTGTGTTTTAACCCTCTGCATACATCTGTCTGCGGTGGCAGTGTGTATACAGACGCTTATTCAAACATCATAGTGTTACTGCTAAGATTTGTGAGTTTCCTACTTCTCTATAAAAAGGTGGTGGTGGCAGTGTGAAGGGTTAATTGCGTAATTAACCTGACCCAGTAACAATCGCTCTCAGGCTGCTGGCACACAGGATTGTGGTCCAGAAAGCTGGAAAATCTTTGTGCAGGGCGCAGCTGAGAGTGGCATTGTTACGCAAGTGGCAGTGCGGTCTTAGATCGGCTGGTCCTTCGGTCACAAGTTGTTGAGAAGGGCTGGGGTTTGACGGTGTGCCCGTCACATACGTGTGTGTGTGTTTTTTATATATGTGTATATGTATTTTACTTTTAAACTCGACCCCCTATTCCTGTCCTTTCAGAACTGCTTTTTTAGGACTTGTTCGTAATAGAAGCAAGGACTGCTGCGCCTCTGAAAAGCAATCCATGCTCAGATCGCTTTTCAGAGGCATCCAACAGGTGGTAAAGAGGCAATACGTTGCCTCCTCACCACCTAGTATAACCCTGTAAAAAGCAGCATCAACCACCACACAAATGCATGCAATGCACACACAGTTGCGGGGTGGTTGTAGTTCAACCCCATTCACCTGGAGGTATACTTCCAGCTGCGGCAACAGCATGTGTACATCCCCCAGCTGCTGTTTCTGCAGCTAAAGGGGGAGCAGCGCAATTGCATGGTTTTACTGCCCTCCAACCTCAGAGGTGAACAAGGCCCTTGGTTCACATCTGTGTGGCTGTGTGTAGGGCAGTCCATTCTTTTCAATGGGCTACCTTACCCGCAGAAATGCAGGGAAAGTCATCCCTAACCTTAGTTTTAAAATTGCACCACACCAAAAAACACCCCGTGTTTGCCAATGTATGGGGGTACCCCTAAAGAGCAGAGCATTTGTCTGCGTGTCAAAAATAAGAGCGATTTTGCATGCATTTTGCAACACACGGTAACGTGAAGCAAGCCTTGGACAGGGGTGCCCCGTGATTGAAAATACTTTTCAAGGGCGCCCCGACTGGAAAAAGGTTGAGAAACACTGTTCTAGGGTACCATCCTCCTAATTCTTCATCCAGAATACCAAGGAGGCACATCGCAGCAGTACAGGGTATAGGGATAGATAATTTATAGGTGAATAAATCTACCTGTTTCCAATAAGCTGACACGGTTTAAGGTTGTGCACATTTCATATAATTTAAGGTTGCAATACTGTATGACTCATTAGGTTAATGGACTGCCCTATGTTGACGCGCAAAAAAGACGCACAGATGTGAATGAGGCCCTCCCCCTTCCCTTCAATCAGCTCTGAGAGCACTCCTCACGGATGTAACTTCAGCTCCCCGCCCCCTGCTATTCAGAGATGAGAAATCCTGTGTAAAGTTTGCACTTTGAATGCATGTAGGGGAAAAACAGCTGTAGGTAACAGGGATAATTTATGTAGGAGGATTCTTTTCATTTCTGTGTATCACCTGAGGCCAGTCACTTCACTGGGTATATGTGGGGGTTTACAGTTAAGCAACAGACTTAAGCTGTTAGCAGTAAAGCAGACATATCATGGAGTTCAGGGGTCAGGATTAAGTAACAGCTTCAAGGGCCAGTAGTAACTAATGCAGCATTCAGAGGTCAATAGTAACACAAAGTGCCGAGGTCCATTAAGATATTATTTATACACTCGGGAGATTATTTTTTTTATAAACTTTTCTCTGAGCCCAAGTTATAGGAATAAATTATGCCTAGTGTAATGAAATGTGACAAGCATTACTACTTAGAACGACAACCTCATCAGAGATCGGTAATATAGGAGTAGTAGACCACACAGCGCTCAGTAATATGTAATGCAGAGTTCAGGGGTCAGTAGTAATGCAAAGTGCATTGGTTAGTAGTATTGCAGATTTCAGAGGTCAGTAGTATGCAATGTGGAGTTCAGAGGTCAGAATAAATGCAGACTGCAAGCATCAGTAGTGACATTTCGTTATTATGTAATGCAGATCGCAGAAGTCAGAAAAAGTAACACAGTGCGAAGGTCAGGAGTTACTAACACCCCCTCTCCTCCTGTAAAATTTACAGATGAGACCTCAGTTTCAGCAGCGCCTGCATACATGACCTCCCAGGTCTCCCCTGAGCTGTGTCATAGGACATGGATGCGAGAACCCAGGACTTCCCTTAGCTCTGAATTCACATTTCTGACCTGAGGTGTGAAAGGCAGAAATGCAGGGTCAGTCATAATCTACCCATTACCTGCCTGTGATGGGCTGCTGTAAGTCAAGTAGAAACTGAGTTGTTAGAAAAGAAAGCCATCTTTGGAAACTCACTTATCCGTCAGTTCTTTGACTTTGTCCTGGTCCCTCTGATGCTGTACTTGAGCCTCTTCCATACGGATCCTTCGGTCATCCAGCAATGACTCTACCTGTTCTTTGGAGAGACGGGTCTGCTCCTCCAACTGGGCCTGCAGTGCCTCCACCTGTTTAAATTACAACACATAAAAGTTGCTGTATTACTAGGGAATTTTCATGCCTTAAGTTACCTCTCTACCGAACTGTCAGGCCATCAAATGGCTGGTGTCATCGTTGATCACATGTGCAGAATGACAACTGCAAGTCAAGGAAGAAGCTAAGATGGCAGCTTCCCTGACTATAAAGGATTGGAGGGTTTAGCTCAGCTTTATGTACAGTCTGCCAAGATTTGTTTCAGTGCAACACTTCCAGGTATTTCTTACCTTTCACAATATCTTCATCTGCTTTTCTCTCCAGGACGGTGCCATCTTTATTCATGCTTCATCAAGGGATCCATCTACCTCCAGAAATGGAATGGTTGCTCAAAGATGACAAACGTATCTAAATCCTGGTTCCTGTGCAGACCTTGGTTTTGTTCACAAATGGCTGACATAGATCAGCCCCTACTGCAATCTCTGACCTTGTGGCTTGCTAAGGAAAACACTTCCTCCCTGCCTGTAGCAGACTGATTACAACATTTCAGCCTAGGCAATGTTATTGACTGAAGCTCAAGGCCGGCTTTTTAACCAATAGCCGCCCGGGCAATAGCCGTTTGGCGGCCGGCAAAATGCTGTAGATTTCCATTTGGCATCCTCCCGGGCATGCACAGTTTTCGTGCTTGCAGAGCCGCGCAGCGGCGCGATCTTTCACCGGCCGTGTACCTCGGACACGGTTGATGACAGATCTGAGTACCGGCCCCCGTTGCCGGTACAATGTGACCTGCTGTGACCAATCACAGCAGGTCACATGACAGTTGTATACAACGGATGGCTTCATTCATGCCATCCATTGTATACTAGTGTCTAGCTGTGAATGGTCACAGCGATCACATGCACATGTCATGTGATTAGCTGTGGCCAAATCACAGCTAAGCACCAACAAAAAAAAAAAAAAAAAACCCTGAATGAATCGATGTCATTCAGGTAAATGCTTGCTTATAGCAAAAGTTATTCTTTGCTATAAGCAAATTGTGTAAAAAAAAAAAAAAAAAAAATACTGATCACTTCCCCAAAGTAGTACAATGTTACTAAGGTAACATTGTACTACTTTGGTCATAGTGAAATATGAAAAAAAAAAAATCTTAAGAAAAAAAAAAAGTAATAAAAAATTAAAATTAATAAAAAAAATTAAAATAAAAAAAAAATATATATTTTTTTTTTCCATACTGTCACCAGTCAGTGTCCCTGATCACCGCCATGCCAGTTATATGATGATGCTGTACTGCACTGGTGACAGTATGTAAAAAAAAAAAAAAAAAAAAAATTCTTTTTCTGAAAAATTATGACAAAAAAAATACAACTTAAAAAAACTCGACATGCCTCTTATGAAGTACGTCGGACTGTCTACTTTGCAAAAAGGGGTCATTTGGGGGATATCTGTACTGTTCTGACATTCTTGGACCTCAAGAAATTAGATTGGCTGTCAGTACTTCAGGATTGATCAATATTCAGATCTATACCATAGTTTGTGAACTCTATAACTTTCCTACAAACTAAAACATACATCCTAATTTGGGTTATTTTCACCAAAGACATGTAGTAGAATACATCTTGGCCTAAATTTATGAAGAACAATTATTTATTTGCAAACTTTTATAAACAGAAACAAAGAAAAACGTGTTTTTTTTTTTCAAAATGTTCAGTCTTTTTTTGTTAATTTATCAAAAAATAAAAACCCCGGCGGTGCTTAAATACCACCAAAAGAAAGCTCTAGTTGTGTGAAGAAAATGATAAAATTATAGTTTGGGTACAATGTTGTATGACTGCGCAATTGTCATTCAAAGTGTGAGCGCTGAAACCTGAAAAATGGCCTGGGCAGGAAGGGGGTAAAAGTGCCCGGTATGGAAATGGTTAAATGATGAAAGTGGAGCTTCCCTGAACACAATACTGTTGCTGTATATTGTGACATGTCAGAAATGTACTCATGCAGATATGTAAAAGTGGAATTGATAGCAGAACCCTAGTCAAATGTGACCTCAGTATTTCAGTTATATGCTTCACATAAACATGCAATTATACCCTTGCAAGCATCCTTAAGTGCACAGTTCAATATCTTTTCCACCTTAAAATCATGGGTGTTCTCCTCATTTAATAACGGATTATAGCAAAAAACAAAACACCCAAACCTGCCAAAGCTGTGTTCCTTGGTCACTTCCCTTCCCTAGCCTGTGCTTGTACAACAATGGAACAGAATCACAACAACTAGCCTATCACTTTGCATGTTCAGCATTTGACTAACAAGCACTGTCCAAAACAACAAAACACTAAGACCCCAGTCACACTTGGTCGCTCTAAAAACACGGGCAGAATCGCATGTTCTATCCATGTTTTCAGAAACGTGTGACGCGTTTGCAATGCCATTATTCACCTCAAACACAGTGTGATTTTGTCATGTTTGTTGCACAAAAATCTCAGCGATTCTTCAAACCCAAAAAGGTTCTGGAGTTTCTTTGGCATATTTGTTGTGCATAGGGCAGCCCATTGAAGTGAACCCATTGTGGGAAGTGGGGGAACGTGCGCTGAAACGAACATTACCACTACGCAAAGTGTGAATGGGGCCCGACTGATTGAGAATTCTGACTCTCTCAGCTGTGAAATAGATTGCAAGAAGTGGATATGAAGTCTATAAAATTCTAACCAAATGTAATGGTTACATCACCTGAATTTATGGAAGGTTCTCTTAAGATTTACCTGGCACTCAATTTTAACTGATTTTTTTTTCAAACATTTAATAATTTTATATTGAGGGGAAAAAAAAAAAAAAAAGCAGTACTGACAGTACCCTGTAAGGATGCTATACATTATCCTTACAATAAAGGCATTACAATATCAAGCAGTTGTCCACCTTGTGTGTTGTTTGGTTTATAATATGCAGCAGATATATTGAGAATATGACACATCTAGTTGGATGACAGATTACAGAGTAAACGTTCGTTTCCTTAACAACCAGTAAACAGTGCCACGTCCAGATGTGACTTCAATCATATTAAATGAGGCTAAGGGCATAGTGGGTTGGAGTATGGGGGTGAAGGGTAAAGTGGTAAGGTACAGGGTTCTAGAATGTAAAGCACTAGATGCTGAGAGGAATCTAAGGTGCATGGGGAGGGAAGGAGTGTGGGGGTCTAGATGCCCAACTGGTTACGGAGACATGGGGGACATAATTGCCCTAGGAGACAAAGGATTAGCATGTTTTCAAATAGCTATTTTATGAATTGAGAAAGGGTGAAGTGGCACCGATACATACATACTAGTTCAAATTAAGCATTACAACTTCAGGATACAAATTGGTAATTTTCTATTCTGTGTTCATAAGACAGGCAACACCAACTCACCTGCAGCAGTAGAGTCTGGTCATCTGGCCTTTCAGGACCTTGGGTTCTGTCAGTTTTTGTGTTCAGTCTAAGTTGGCCTTTTTTTGTAGCTGCAAAAGAAAAAAAAAAAAAAAAAAAAAAAAAAACATGATTCATAACTACAGATGAATAGGATGACACTTTTTAATATGTGAAATTCACACAAGGGAAAAAAAAATACCAGGTTTTCCCCATGATACACAACTGGTTTATACCCATGTTTACTGTGCTCTTCCACCTTTCCATTTGTCAGATCCCAATGTCTAAACCCTGTTACAGCTTAGAGATGTTTAATGAACCTTACTGCTTCTCTACCTGAAATTGTTATCTTCTGGTCATTGACCACTTAGGCTCAAGCACTGTATCCTGTGAAAGGCCACATGCTCCAATACCATGAAGCATCTGCTATTTCTGATGATTTCAAGAGTCTAAGACTGATTCGATCTCTACAGGGAACTCCCAAGCAACAGGATTGGCAATGCCTCATGCACATGGAGCATAAAAAAAATGTTGCTTATACAGGCATACAGCTTTTTTTTTTCCAGCCTGTAAAAGCACCTCTATGTTAGCCTACGTGGCCATGTACACATAGGCATTCACAGTGTGTTTACAGGCAGAAGTTAAAAAAACAAAAAAAAACTAAAACACACACCAAAAGGCACGATCTGAGAGGTGCTTTTGCACAGAAAGAACATGTGTAAACACATTTAAACGCATTCTAAATGTATTCCAATGGCCAGTATGAATTCATATTCTATCCAGTAGAATGCATTTATGCTCAAATGCCATATGCGCATACATATTGTAATATTACAGGCGTTTTTTTTTTTTTTTACCAAAATTCTGGCAGATAAAAAGGCTGCTTATTTTCATAAGACAATATATATTGCAAAGTGCTGCATAAACTGTTGGCGCTATATAAATCCTGTATAATAATACTACTACTACTATGCATGATGCCTAAAATGTGTGGGAAAACACTCAATTGCTGGTATATATTGCTCCAAACTGCAAGAGAGCAACACATACTGCCCTGCACAACCACCCTGACACTGGAAGGTTATTGACAGCATCAGGATTGCCGGTGTGACAAAAGCCTAACAAAGTGGTGGGGGAGCATGACAAAAAGGTTGTGACAACAGGTGAGGGGGGGGGGGGGGGGGTGGGCATCAACAGGACCCATGGATTGTCTTTATTCTACATCCAGAAACTTCTTTTTTTCTGATCTGGAAATATATATGTAGGAGTCTGAACTGCTTACACTGCCCTGAGCCAGTAAAAGCAGCAGATGGGAGCTTGTGTCACTTACTCCCAGTTTCTATCATCAGCATCCATTATGGTAATCCTGCCACTAGCCAGTTTGAAAATTCAGCTTGTGTGACGGCAGCAATGCGAAAGTAATGTGATCTGGGCTTAAAGGCAATTAAAAGTTGACAAGATAAAGAAGTGTATTTTTATCACGGTCTCTTATTTTAGCTACGAGAGAGAGCTCTCGCGTTCCGCCCATATGTTTCTAATGTTTTGTTTTATCAG